GTCCGTCCGTCCGTTCGTTCGTTCGTTCGTTCGTTCGTTACCGCCGCGATACCATCTTCTCTTTTTCTCTTCTTCTCCGCGCGTTCTGCTCGCTACGGCGTGCCTGCGCCCCTTTTTTCACCTCGCCCTCCTTCCACGCCCTCCTTCGCTTCCTCCTCCTCCTCCTTCTCCTCCTCGAGACGTTGGCGAGTCGAGAGACACAGAGAAAGATTCGATTCTCTTCCTCGCTGTTTTTCTTCTTTTTTCCGCTTCCTCGTTCGATGTGTAAAGAGAGAGAGAGAGAGAGAGAGATGGAGATATATTAATCGTTCGAAAATATCACGACGAAGATGGAGAATCGAATTAAGATCGAATTGGAGAAAGAAACGAAGACGGGGCACGCGAGGCAAAATTTTATACGTACGAGAAATTATCAAATTATCTCCACAACCGTTTCCACGGTATAAAATGCAGAGAAGCGAGGATCAAAGAGGCCACTTCGTTATCGGCACCGGCTACCCCGGTTGCTGCATTTCGATAAGGAAAAAGAGGTTAGAGAAACGCGACCAGACCCGAACCCCGTCGATGTTCTAATAACGGTTTACTACGCTGGAGCACGCATCAATTAACTCTTCATTTCGAATTACTTGGCTCGGGTAATTGCGAGTAACGAGTTTCGATCATCGGTTTTCTCCCGTTTCGCACGAAGGGAGGAAGACAAGGAAGACAATAACGCTTTTTCTAACGCGAAGATACTTAGATCCGTGCATTTAATTATCTCGATCTGTATTCTTTTATACCGTATACGCGTTTTAGAGAACGTTTCGACATTTAAACGCAATCATTTTTCCCTTCGTTATCCCGTGGATGGGGTTTCTTTATATATTCAACGAATCAGTGTTATCCCATCGAGAGGACGAGCGTTGTTCCTTCATTGTAATTCTCCGCTCATTTATTATCGCCGAGGGAGATTTCGATAGGGCCCTCTCTCCGTGGAAATTGATAAAGCGTGCTGCCTTCATTATGAAAGTTCCCTTTCGTCCCCGATAACATTCGAGATTTCGCGAATTTTTTTCTTTCTTCCTTTCGAAATCCCTTCCTATCTCGGGAACTTTTTACTACTTTTAAAAAAGTAAAATATCTTTTTCTCTCTCAAAAATTTTTATATGCATTAATAATTTCCCCATTACAATAAACTCCTTCTCTCGATCCAATCATCGACCTCCGCGCAACACGGCCCCTTTCAACGTCCTTCGTCGTTCCTCCTCGCTGAGCCACGATTTCACGTTCGTTCCACGTTCCATTAGAGGCTGATTGTTCGTATCGCGGTCGCGGTGGACGCACACGTGAACCGATCGGTGCGTGTACCGAAAAGGAGTACCTCTCCGCAACAGGAACAGAGAGACGAGGAGGAGGAGGAGGAGGAGGAGGAGGAGGAGGATCCCTGTTCGAAGGCCTCTCTCGAGTCTCGCTATCTGAGGGAGCACTCATCGCGGTCGCTTCGTTATCGGCAGCGCGGAATCATAATGGGCCATAATTGCATAAATATAATGTTAATTAACAATTAAGATTGCCGCTTTGCCTAATTGAATCGCCGCTCCTGCAGCCGCGCCCGGGAGGAGAGGAGGGGGACGGTTCTCCTCGCTCGATCGGATTCGAGAGGTGGCTTCTCGAAGGTGGCTTTAAACGTAACGCCGTATCGGAAAATTATGCCGATGGCCGTGGCTCGAGTATGCACACGCTCGATACCCGCAGAGAGAAACGTGACCGTGTGTCGCCTTAGAAAAACGCGTATTTATATATATATATATACACATTCTGAATGCCGATTCGGAGAAATAAAGAAGGGGGTGGAAGGCGAGGACTGTTGGTCTCTTCACTGAAAGTTGATAGCAATGGCAAGATCGGCCATTCGAATGAAATCGTGTTTTGAGAGAATTATTCGAGATATCGCTCTTTTTTAAACCAATTATCGAGAGAAAGAAGAACGTATATTTTTTTTCTGCAGATTACGTTTCTCACTCGAGAGATTATTGTGACGAAATTTCGAACTCAAAATCATCGAGACATAATTTGCAATAATAATTGGGATTATAACTATAAATTGAGCTCAGTATTATATTTCGTTCTAATAAAGTTGTCGACTGGGAATCGCGTGAAAAAAATATTAAGGAAAAAAATCCATTGTAATCGATCGTTTAACGTTCTTCTTGACTTTGTACCGGTAAAGTATAAGCGTGAAATTAATAGTTAACGCTGAAATTGAAAAGCGTCGAGGTATCGACATACGGTCGTTGAACTGTTAGCATCTACTATGCGTATCGATCGTGCACACGGAATTTCGGGGATGTAATTAGCGGCGTGTAGAGATGCAATAATAATTAATTCCCGTTAATCCTCGCGGAGTGAATCGACCGATAGTCAACGGAGCTTTTCGTGTCCGAGAGAAATAAATGGGGGGTTGTTCCCAGCGAGCGTCGAAATCTTTTCTTTCACCCCTCCCCTCTTTCTTTTGATTTTCTTCGCAATCTTCCATCTCAAGCGGACGAATTTTTATTCCGTTACTTTTGTTTTCTTGTTCCAGATGGTACAAGCGATCCAGGTCCTCCGGTTTCACCTCCTCGAGCTGGAAAAGGTGAGTGAATGAAATTTTGCGATTTCACAAGAATTGTGTAATTCTTGTCGCATTATTTTATTATACTGTATTATCGAAAAGTATACTGTAATATTCGAAAAGTATTGCGGATTTACTACTTTCACAACGTTATCTTTCCGAGCTTTAAGTATCGATTAATTTAAGTTTTAAATAATTGGCGAATTAATTACTTGTGTAATTGTTGGTGCAATAAATTCGCTCGTGATTTAATATATAATTTAATTTTATTAATGATATTTACAATCTTAACGCTCGAAAAATAAAAATAAAAATAAGCGTGTGACCTTTGTGTGATAAGCGTCATCTTTGATAAGCTACATCTTTGATAAGTTATTGATACAACATATTGTAAATTTTTTTTTTTCTAACAGATTAAATGACGAGAATAATAAATAATCAAATTTTATATGTTATTCATCGTGCAAAATATTATACGAGCGTTAAGAAATTAATATCCAAAATATAAAATATGTAGAGAATTAATTTATTAAGCGTTAGAAAGATACAAGTACTTGCAAAATTGTTTCCAAATTTAATACGTTATTATCACGCACTTTAAACAATACGTTTCCGTGAAATCCATTCACGAGAACCTGTTTAGCCTCCCCCCTCCCCCCGAACAGATTCACAGTAAATAGGACATTCTATCACGTAAAACAAGATTAACATCGCTACGTGACGTTGCACAATTAATAACTATATAAATCAAACTATTTATCAAACAGAGATTTGAGATTAAAACGTTCGAGAATCATGCTTTATTAATGGATAATTGGAAAAATAATTTCCACGATTATTTACTCTCATCGAACACGTTCCTACCTCAACGTCATCCTTCAACGATGCATCCACAGTAAAGGCCCTTAATAATCATCGCGAGTAGTTTCACACACGCGAAATATCAGATTAATAGAACGATCAGATTAATAGATTAAGAAACGAGCCGCGTTTAGGCGAGGCGAGTTTTCGAGCGCGTGCTATGAGGTGCTCTGGTCCGCTCCAATTGTCGGGGTGTCGGCGCAGATAAGCCGTTCGAAACGGTTGAAAAACAACTGTTACGGGCGGAGCCGCAATTTTCCGTAATTGTAGTGAAAGCTCGGCCACCACCCGTCGTCGTCGTGGCCGTCGTCGGTCGTCGGTCGTCGGTCGGCTATGGCGTGCACCTTGGCTCCGCTCTCGAGCTCCACGGGCGTAAGTGGCGTCATTTACCTGTCCAATGGCCGGCTAGACGTACGCGGTGCTCTCCGAGTTGTTTGCATTGGAACGGCCATCTTTCTCCACCCGAGGTCCTGATTTTTTTTCTTCTCTCTCTCTCCCCTTCTCTCTTTTTTCCCTTCAGGCTCCCCTCCTTGCGAACCGGAAACTCGTAAATCGGAGTACATGTGTCGCGTAATAGATTCCACGGAGCGGTAGAAGTCACGGCACGAGAGAGGCAACCGTTTAAGCGTGAATTTACGATTTTTATTTTTGAAACGAGATATGGATAGGATAGGTGAAGTAATAAGTTACGATTGAATAAATTATACCGTATAAGTGGTAATGCATGTTTCTCGGAACGAAGAGGAAGAAGAAGTTTGCGAGATCTCTCTTATTCTTGGAGGAGGGAAACACAACGAAAGTTTCTATTCGTCTTGATTTGATTTCGTGAAGATGCAAGTTGCATCAACTTTCCTGCTTTATCGGAATATCCTTCGAAAATATCCTAGAAATGTAATAATAACACCCCGCGTGTATCGATATCGACCGAGAATTGATCTAATCTCGAATGGACGAATGAAATTTACACTCGTTGCAACTCGTTTTTTTTTAAAGATCTCTAAGATAATTGTCATGGATCGCTTGAGATATTGAAGAATTCGATTGAATTTTAAATAATTTTCGTCATCTGTAAATATCGAAGCGACACACGCATAACAACTTACAAATTCTTCATCAACCTTCGATTTTCCCGCGAATACTAATTAAAACGAGGGAATTAAAACGTACGATAATCGATCCCAAAGGGAAGAGGGGGCGTGGAGAAAGTCGCAATCCAATCGACGACACGAGAGTGAATAGCGATTAATTGAATCGGGATTAATACCAGATTTAATATTCCGCGCGCGTTGTTACTTAGAGAGAGCCACTACCACCACGGTATAAATAAATAAATATTGCATTAGAATATCTCCCGTTTTTCTCCCGTTAACGATTGATAACCGTTCGAAAGAGAGGAGGGGAGGAGGATAAGAGAACGGACGGTTTGTCGAAAGAAGAGAAGAAGGGAAGGCAAAGAAGAGGAGGCAAAGAGCGCAAGTTTTCAGGAGCACGGTTTGCGTGGTTGCAGAATACCACGGGCGGGCCCCAGGTTTCGGCCTGGGCATCGCCGTTTTTGCGCCGATATTTTATCATACGAAATAGCGGACATCCATCGCATTTCCATCGAAATGGCAGCTGACGTGGCGGCGGCAGCCATTGGAGACCGGCCAGCTCGATCCGACCCTCGTGTGTTGTGTTGCTCCCTCT